TTTGGTGGAATTCTCTGGTAAAACCATCTGGGGCAGGACTTTTTTTTGCTGGTTAATTTTTTTATGACCTGTTCAATTTCTTATTTTGTTATGGGTCTGTTCAACTTTTCCACCTCAGTCTGTGTTAGTTGAGGTAAGTACTGTGTTTCTAGAAATCTGTCCATTTCTTCTAGATTTTCAAATTTGTTGGAGTACAATTCATAGTATCCTGATATTAGTTGGTTCTGTGTGATGCTGCCCATTTTATTTCTTATTCATGTTATTTATATTCTCTCTTTTCCTTTGTTAAATTTGCCAGTGGTTTGTCAATTTTATTAATCCTTTTTTAAAAACAAACTTCTAGTCTTGTTGATTTTTTTTCTATTGTCTTTCTATTTTCTGTTTCATTTATTTCTGCTTGAATTTATTATTTCATTTCTTCTGGTAACTGTAGCCTTTTTTTGCTGCTCTTTTTCTAATTGTTGAAGATGTTGGCATAAAGTGTTGATTTTGGCTCTTTCTCCTTTTTTGATGTGTACATTTATTGCTATAAATTGGCCTCTGATCACACTGCTTTTGCTGTGTCCCAGAGATTTTGGTATGTTGTATTTTCACTCTCATTTGAGTCAAGTAATTTTTTAATTTCATTTTTTATTTCTTCTATTACCCAGTCATTTTCAGGGAGGGTGTTACTCAGTTTCCATGTGTTTGCTCTTTTTCTATTCATCTTCCTATTGTTGATTTCTAATTTTATTGTGATCTGAGAAGATGCTTTGTGGTATTTCAATGTTTTTAAATTTACTGAGGTCTGCTTTGTGGCCTAACATATGGTCTATCCTGGAGAATGTTCCATGTGCAATGGAAATGAATGTATATTGTGCTGTTGTTGGATGAAGTGCTCTGTAGATGTTTATAAGGTCAAGTTGGTGGATTGTGTTGTTTAGTTCTTCTGTGTCTTGGTCAAGTTTCTTTCCAGTTGTTCTATCTTTGATTGAAAGTGGTGTATTAAAATCTCCTAGTATCACTGCAGGAGTTCTGGTAGTGTAGTGCCTAAGGCATTTGACTGCTAACCAGAAGGCTGATGGTTCAAACCCACCAGCCAGT